CCTGTAGTCCTGGGAGTTTTTACAGATGAGGCATCTCTGAAGGTCAGAGAGTTATGTAACTTTCCCATAATCACAGAGGTAGTAACTAAAATCAGATCCTTCCAACTCCAAAGCTTATATTCATTCCATTTCCTGTCTCCAGAATTTATAATAGGTATAAAAACTATGAGTGGGTAGCACCCAGACGGTCAAGCTAAAACCCAGCCTAGCTGTACCTGTCCTTATACAATCAGTTAATCTCAGTAAGTCTCTATTTCCTCACCTAAAAGGGAGACTTACCATGTAAATAACAGGCTAATCCATATAAATAAGTTACCGTGATAAGCACTGAACATATTTTGGTTATTTTTATTGTCATTTATATTAGTGACCTCCAGCCCAGTCTTTGGGAGGTTCTGTGTTAAGCATTTTGTTTTATGTGCATTCTCTTTTTTTGTTTTTTAACTAGCTGTTCAAGGCAGGTATGAAATCCCCACTTGTACAGGGAAGACAGCCTCGGAAACATGAAGCTCTTCTCTAAATGGAAACTAAGTTTGTCTAGATATAATGGCCATGTGCTTTCCAACCGTATAATTGCTAAAAACTCCTTTTCTGTATTTTTTCTGGTGATAAGGCAATAATGTTGGTGTTAGTGGTGGCAGGACCAGTGTAGCCACAGACATTGCTTGTTGAGGAAGCAGCAGAAACAGTGCTTAGCCCACACCAGCACTGACCACACAGGCCAACCTACCTTAACCATTCTGCCCCATAAATACAGAGAAATAGTATCTTAGTATTTATGGGTGTGCTAATTCCACTTATTGGAAGCTTGAAATTGAGGATACTTGGAAAAATATCTGGTGTTATATTTTTATGGTACAGTGTTATTCAGAAGGCTTACCGTCTTAAAACTTTTATTTCTAAGGCATTCCTAAGTCAGAATCAGTTTGTAAGTTTGGGCAGAACTGATGGGGAACTTGGGACACAGAACAAATCCCCTCTTTTGTGTGTGTTATTTTGGAATGTTTCTGTAAAATGAAGAGTTTGTTCCAGCCACATGGACGAGCTCCAGAAGTCCATTGCTCATAGATTACTAGAGTTCACACTCCACCATTCAGCAGATTCCTCCATACAGTGATTTTTCTCATCAGAATGATGGTAACTTCATTTGGTTCATTTGAAATCATATCTTCCAAGCAAAATAAAAATTGGAAAAACCCACAAAATTGTGAACAATTCAGATTGCTGACAGAATTTCAACTCAAACTTTGAGCACAGAGGCCAACTCCTGGCATGGCTAGAAGGTGACCAGAAGATACACAGCCTATAAATAACATTCTTGTGCTGTGGTTTCAGAGTTAAATGAGCAACAGCAATTTGAGGAAAGATTTACCAGCCTTCTGAATGAAAGTTTGTGTTGTCTTTCTGATTTAGTAAGTGTTACAAACACTTGTGTAATAATAGTAGTGATGGTCCTGTGTCTGGCATGGCACATCTTGAGGTGTGCTCACTCGCACATTATTGCATTTGATCCTGAGAGCAATACTGTCATAACTTCTTCAGTAACCTGGACCTGGTTCACCAGGAGCCCCAGAGAACTGGCCTTCAGAATTAAAGTTCTTGCCTGTGAAGAAAAACAAAAAAACTTCCTTCTTTTAGAACTGATTCTAAATTACTTTTTTTTTTTTCCAAGCGAAAACAGCCAGTGTGCAGAATAAAATTCTCTCATGTGTTTTCATGTGTCTTCCTGCTCTGCTCAGCTTGGTATAAACAGTGTTTTAGGAACAGTTTTTCATGCATCTTATCTAAATCCTTCATCCCAAGTTACTCTTTTTGTTTATTTATGCATACAAGAACTGTGGTACAGTTCCGGAAGTGCGGGGTTGGGGGTGGTGAGAGGATTCATTAGAGACAGAGTGGGGAGCAGAACAAGAAGATTCCCTGAAATACACTGCTGATAATAGCAGCGAGAAGGAGGGACAGGAGAGGTCTGCCATGCCATGTGGGTTACCTCCTATTCTGGGGATTGAACTCATGCTACAGCTGCTGCTGCTAACTCCACAGTGTTGTGCTTTAACCCATCATGCTACAAGGGAGGGCCCATTGTCACATTTTTAGGAAAGAATAAATACAATTTTGTTAACAGTTGAAATGAAAATATATATACATTATCTTTGTTCCCATGGTAGAGGGGCAAGGATCTCAAAATATCGCATTAGGAAAAGAGAGACACAATATGGAGGCCAGGCATAAGGACAGGAGGGACTGGCTCTAAGTCTGAATTCATGTTCAGGTGTTTTTTTAGCTCAGATTTCTCAAATTACAGAATTTGAGGCCAGAGGCAGAAGGGTGCTAAGAGACCTCTTTATTTGTTGGAATTCAAATGAGACCACTGACCTCTCTAGAGAAGGCTGGCTGAAGGATATATGTTGAATAAATAATGGCAGCTGAGGAGTTGAGGAGCACAAGTATTAACTGCAGCCCGAGGACTCTAGTCCCAGCTTCTCTCCTGCTTGGCTGTATAACAGACTAGGAAATCTGTCATTAACAGAATGGTCATCTACTTGCTATGCTGAGCTGTCTTAGAGTTAGACATGCAAAGTATCTGGCAGGTTCTTGGAGGTGTGAATACTCATTAAGGGAGCAGTGTTTAACTATCAGTGATAACAGTACACTGTTGGGCTGCCTACCTCCTAGGAGCTGTGTCTCAGTAAATTAATTCGGGAACAAAGTAAAGAGGTGAGAAAGTATCTTAGAGGCTGTGATCCTTGAGTTTAGCAACAACTATATTTGCTCTTTTTTCCTTGCAGATACTTAAGTGGAACTTGGAGACATGCATAGCACTAGTACTTATTTTTAGGGGTTCAACTTCCCTGGAAGCCAGTAGGTTTTTGTTGTTTTGCTTTAAGTCCCCTTCTCTCCTTTACCCCCTCGCCTCAGTTGAACTCAAAGTGATTCAGTTTATTTTGCTGAAAATTCCAGTCCCCTAGGGAAAATATGATAATGCTGTTTTCAGACAGCTGTGTTTGGGAACAAGACTGACTTAACCAGCTGGCTGGCATCATTGGAGCCCAAGGACCTACTAAACCATGGAGAGCAGCTGTTTGGGCTGAAATTCTTCTAATTCTTAGGACTTTGTTCCCTATATATCAGCTTCTACATTCTGTTTTTAAATACATGCACAAAGGAAGGTGGTTCATGAGAAAGTCTCTGATGTGCCCAGGGCTGCCCTGGGAAGGAGAGAGGGGAGTGCCACCACCATATTCTTGTCACTCACGATGGCAGAAGGAGGCTAGCTCTAAAGAGTAAGAGATAACAGTGATTGTCTTCTACATAGAATTATGCAGCCTTTAAGATTCATACCTGAAGATTTTATTCATTTTTGTGTAGAAGAGCCGGGCGTGTAGGCCAGAGGTACGGGTGGTAAGAGGGTTCACCAGTGACAGAGTAGGGAGCAGAACAGGCATATTTACTGAAATACACTGCTGAGGAGAGCAGTGGCCAAGACAGGAGAGGTCTGCTGTGCCATGTGGGTCACCTCCTTGGCCAGGGATGGAAATCAGGCCTACTGATGATAGCATTGAGACTTAACCTCTTGGCCACTAGGGAGGCCCAGTGAAGAATTTATTTTTTGGGGAAGGGGGAAATGTTATGATATAATGTTTGACAAACTATATATGAAACAAAATATAAAAATATTATAATCTCAATTATGAAAATTGTGTATGTTAACATTAAATGTCATACTTATACCAAGCTCGTACACTGAGCTTGATACTTATCTGAGGCAAATACTCAGTAAATCACAGCTACTGAATACAGAGTATAACCACAGAGCACATGTTTGCCTCTTGTGTGTGTATATATACAGAGTGCCTGGTATAAAGTAGATCTTGTTGACTGCATGAATCAATCTTCTTATTCTATGTCTTTAAGAAGGAAATTAGAAAAGTCAAGCATGTTGCCGTCTATAATTGTACCTGTAATTGTGGCAGCTTAACCTCTCTGCCTCTGTTATTTATTATTAATGGTGAGGATGGCACCTTTTGCTTTGGGTCATTGAGAACTTAGTGAGCTTCACAAAAATGCATAGTGACTATTCCTAATAAAATCATGGTAAGCACCTCACCAGTGGAAGCTATTGTAATAATTCTGCTATAATGTGTCTGTAGAAAACAAAAGGTGGGTGTTAGGATTTTTTGGTCTACATTTTCTATTCATTTTTAACTATTCATGGACTTTTAAAAAGTTAATGAAAACTTAATAGAAAAAAAGCCCATTTGAAAATAAAACTTCATGTCTGAATAGTGGAATTCAGAGTGTGTTTCTGTTTACTTCTTGGATGTTTTCTACATTTTCCAAACTGTCTGTAATATTTATGTTCATGTTACTTTTATCATCAAGGAAAAACAACTTTCTGCTCCTCTCTTAAGTAACATGCTCATTACAAATGCATTTTAAAAATAAATTGAAACAAAAAGCCCCATGCTCCCATGCTCAGCATCAGTGAAAACATAGAACTGCTGATTTCCAAAAGATCCTGCATCTGATGATGGTTGAGGACTTGCAAATAGTGCCCTGCTCTGGGTGCTTTTTTACATCCTGAGAAAATTATGAAATGTTTAAAAACTGAGAAATGGAATTAGTTGTGGAAAAATAAAGGAATTTTGATTGATCGGTTCTGCACAAAAGTGATCAAAAAATTAAAGTGCTATTAACAGGATTTAAACATAACAAATATTTTTAGCATAGCTTCTTTCCTTTTCCCTGCAGAGAACAGCAAAAAGATCTGTGGAAATGGTAGCAGAAGAGGTTAGAAATGGAAGTGAACGGTTACCAGGACCTGGAATGAACTTCCAAAGTAGAATGTTTAATGTTAGTTCCTAGGAGTATTTAAAAGAAAGCCATTAGGTCTTGCTGATTGTGAGACATCATCAAAGTTTCATTATACTGGTTCAGGCCTGTGCTTTCTCCCCATTTCACTGTAGTGCGTAATCTTTTTTGTGAAATTTCACTTGCAGATATTTAACACCGTGCCTGACATGCCTCTCACCAACGCCCAGCTGCACCTGTCCCGGAAGAAGAGCAGTGACTCCAAACCTCCGTCCTGCAGTGAGAGGCCCCTGACGCTCTTCCACACTGTGCAGTCCACAGAGAAACGTGAGTCTTGCTGCCCCAGCCAGCCACTTCCCAGCCACTTTCCAGCCACTTCCCACCCATTCAGGATGTTCATGTCTGCCTCTCACTGTGCTGTTGCCTTTGTGCCTTTGAGGGTCATGTATCATCGCACCTTCCCAGGTTCCATCAGTGAGTAACCCTGATAGGTGTGGATGCAGTATTGATGTGAATAAAAGGCACAGGCTACCCGCTGCTTGTCAGGATTCTCTTTGTCAGGATTCATAGCTTCTGTGGGCAAACAACTTAGTCTCTCTTCCTACGCAATAAGAGCTCGGCTCAGGCCTGCTGCTTTGCCCCACCTTTTGTTAGCGGCTTCCATAGAATTGGTTTCCTTTCCTTTGATCACTTTGTAATTAAATGCTTATTAGCGTGGGCCAGGTGTGCCCCACTAGACTGTGACTTCGAGAGCAGGACTTTGTTTTGCTCTTCCCTCTACTCCACCTCTCACAGGACCTGGACCTGGCATAGAATGGACACATAGTAAGTGTATTAAGTTAATTAATGAATTAATTAGAGAATAATGCCCTCCTTGTTCCAAAAAGCATCGTATTATCATCACAATTTTAGTGAATGTTTTTTTCATCTCAGGATTTCTGAGTTATTGTGGTAACTTACCAATCCTGAAATATCCAGTCTCTTTTGTCTTCTGTAATCAGAGGGTTGTGTGCAGTATAGGAGTTGAGGGCTCAAGCTCTGCCTGAGATTAGTCAGGCCTGGCTTCTTGTGCTAGCAGGGTAAGTCTTTTGCCTTCTCTCAGCCTTTGTTACCTTCTCTGTAGCGATAACAGTGTTTATCTCATATTGGAAGCTGTGAAAATTAAAAGAAGCTATGTATTTTAGCACTCCCCACAATTATTGTTATTATTAGTTATTATTTAATTACATGTCGATACCAAGATTGGTTCACTGGCATAACCAATATTTCTACAATACTTGCTGGGGATATAAAAGGACTGGGATATAAAAATGGAATCTTTAAGGAGCTCACAGTGGATGAGGGAAGTAGATAAGTGAATGCTTCATGGTAAATCAGCACAATAACTGCTCTAATGGAGACAGACAGGTACCTTCAGAAAGACTGCCAAACTTGATGGTTGAAAGCACACACCGGGCCAGAATGTCTGGATCAGGAAGTCTCCTGCTGCTGCTCCTGACTGACTGTGATGTGGGCAAGTTATCTAACATATGAGGGCCTCAGTTTCCTGTTCTGGGAAATAGACATGATAACAGTTTCTACCTTTGATGGTTTTGTGAGGGTTAAAGCACCTCCAATGGTCCCTAGTATACAGTAAGCTCTCTGTAAATGAGGGGTGGAAAATGTGGTATAATTGCTACCATTAATTCCTGTGAGGTACACTGAAGGCATAAAGGAGAATAATGGTCCACTTTGCCCCAAAGAGGCAAAATACTCCATGTTTGGATGGGCATTTTTCTCTTTCTTAATTACAATTCCTTATTATAACTCTTGAAAACAAATCTTGACTGCCCTCAAAATATCACTGTATAAGATGCTGCAGTATCCTTTAGTGTATTTGGCACCACTTAAGTTATTTATTTAAGATATTTTACTTCATGTGTCAAGTTACTGTTATCATCCTTGTAGCTAAATCTGTTCCTTTTCATGATCATTTCCTTAAGATAAATTCCTGGAAGAATTTCTCAGTCAGGATATGCACAATTTTAGTGTGTAGAAAGAACCCTTGCTGGGATTGGCCTCCCTTTGAATGATAGCCTGTGTTCCGCTTAAGTATTTGACTAGAGTCATACTCTCTTTGGGTGTTAGCAGGAAAAGTTTAGAATAGTTCTCTCCTCAGCCACATCTGCCATAAACAAGGCATCAGTTGCAGGGTGATATGCTTTTACCTGAAAAGGAGAGCCATGCACTAATGTTTTGCACTGAGCAATGTCCAGCACAAGTCAGCACAAGTCAGATGGTGTTAGTAAATTTTAGTAAAGTTTAAACCAGTGTGGAGTTTGAGGTTAGATGAAGTCAGAGCAGATTTGGAATAGGTCTTAAAGCTTACTCTGGGAGCACATAAGAAAGAAGGTGGAGATTAGGAGAAAATCAATTAGATGTATACCCACGATTAATTTTATCACATGAGACAAAGGATGAAAGCTAAGGATCTGTGAAGGCAGAGCTGCCTAAGCTCCAGATCAAGCAGCAATATCCCTGTCTGCAAATGGTGGACCAAAGTATGGAAGACAGGAAGACAGGGAAGTGATGTATCATTCCTCTGAATGTCAGGAATTGCTCCCTGTAAACAGGACTGGAATGTCCATAAACTCAGATACATGCCAAGTGCTTAGCTTGCCTCTTTCTCAGAGAAGAAATATTTTCAGTGAAATATATTTAGATACATGTATATACATATACTTTTCATAATTTTGTAAACCCTTTTCTGGGAAACTGAAATGATAGCTGAATTGGCTTGAAAGCACCATAGGAAATGGGGGGGGGGTGAGTTGATGCTCTGAGAAATACTGGGCCAGGAGCAAGAGGTTCTGCAGGCAGTTGTCTCTCCCAGATTGTAATTCTGCTCCCTTTATCTGTTAGCTGAGCAGGTATGTGAGCATAAAGGTTCGCATACCTTCTCTTTCCCTTCATCTCATTTGTGTACCAGATAGAAAGTAACTTTATCAAAGCAATTTGCTGTTTTTACTCTTTGAAATTAAAGTATAGGTAAAGGCCATGCAAGTAATTTATGGGGGGAAATTGTACTTTATATTCCATAATATGTAATAGTGACTGTATATTTCACAATAGTGATGTTTTTCAGTTTGTGGTTTCTCTCCATACTTAGTTCAGAACTTGCTCAACTTGAATTATTACCATGAATTTTCATTCACTCTTTTAGCAATAACTTACAAGTTGTTGTTTGTTTAATTCATTTATTGCTTTTTAAAAAATATTTATTTTATTGAATGCATATAAAAACTGACGTACAGGTCAGTGGTGCAGGGGGTGAGAGGATTCATCAGAGTGGGGAGCAGAACAGACAGATTGCCAAAGTACACTGATAAGGGGAGCAGCAGGCAAGAGAGGAGAGGCCTGTTGTGCCAGGTGGTCATCTCCTTGGTTGGGGATTTAACTCATGCTACAGTGGCTGAGGATAGCTTCACAGTGATATTCCTTAACCCATTGCACTACCAAGAAGGGTGCAAATTCATTTATTTCTTTTTAAATTTTTTTTTTAATTGTGGTAACTTTGTTTGTATTTTGGGAGCATAGAATTCCCTCCCCTTCAAGTGTAGTTACCATAGTGCCCCCACTACCAAAATACCCATAGTCCACCACCACAGTCCGTTGTGCTTCCTCTCCACTGTGTTCTCATCCCTCCTTCTCCCACTCAGGCTCTTTCAACTCTGGAGCTGATTTTCAAGGATTAATTTTTTTATTTTATTTTACAAAAGTTTATTTTTACATCATTTTGTACATTTTTTCCCCCATCTCAATTGTAATCCCCGCGGGTTTCCCATCACCAAGTCACCCGTGTGCCATCACCATAATCCCGTGCATTTCCCTCCCCACCCCCGATTTTTGATCCCATTCCCCACTCCACCCCCGTAAAATGTCTCTGGTATATGGTTGTTCATTATTTCAAGGATTAATTTTTTTTTAAAGATTTATTTATTTGTACATACAGAACTGGGGTACAGGCCAGAGGCTCAGGGGTGGCGAGAGGCTTCACCAGAGACAAAGTGGGGAGCAGAACAGGCAGATCGATGAAGTACACTGCTGAGGGGAGCAGCAGGCAGGTCAGGAGAGGTCTGCCACGCCATGTGGTCACCTCCGGGGCAGGCGGGAATCGAACTCATGTGGAAGTGGCTTTAGCTTCTCAGTGCAGTGCTTTAACCCGCTGCACCACCAGGGAGGGCCTCAAAGATTAATTTTTAAGTTTGACTTTATCTGACCTTTGTTTGGTTTCTCGATATGCTACCTGTAAGTGACAGGTGTCACCATCCAGTATTTATCTTTCTTCTTCTACTTACCATAATCCCTTCCAGTTCTATCCACGTCACTACAAGTAGCATGAGTTTATCTTTTTTTTTTTAAGATTTATTTATTTATGCTTACAGAACTGGGGTACAGGCCAGAGGTGCAGGGGCGGTGAGAGGCTTCAGCAGAGACAGAGTGGGGAGCAGAACAGGCAGATTGACAGAGTACACTGCTGAGGGGTGCAGAGGGAGGTAAGGAGAGGTTTGCCATGCCATGTTGTTTGTTCCTGGCTGGGAATCAAACTGGTTTTGCAGTGGCTTCGGAGAGTTTCATAATGCAGTGCTTTTACCCATTGTGCCACCATTGGAGATGAATCAGCAGAGACATCACTGAAGCTTATGTAGCTTATGAAGCTTTTTTTTTTTATCATGGAGAAGTAGTCCAATGTGTATATACCACATCTTCTTGATCTGTTCATATGATTTGGGGCACTTAGATTGTTTAATAATTTAGTCTTTGTAAGTACTTCTGCAGTCAGCATGGGCAGCATGCAAGTTTCCTTTTGAAATAGTGTTTTTATAGATACCTAGAAGTGCAGTTGTTGGGTTGTGTGGCATATCCATTTTTAATCTTTTGGGAAAACTGTTTTCCATCCAGGCCGGACCAGTTTATGTTCCCACCAGTAGTCTAAGAGGCTATCTTTTTCTCCACGTCTTTGCCAGTACTTGTTATTTCTGGTCTTTTTGATATGGGCCACTCTCACTGGTGAAAGGTAGTGTCTTATTTGTAGTTTTAATTTGCATTTATTTCCCTGATGATAAGTAATGTTGAACATTTTTTCATATTCCCGTACCCATCTGCGTATCTTCTTTAGAGATGTGTGTATTCAGCTCTTTTTTCCATTTTTTAATTGGGTTATTTATTTTCTTTTTGTTGAGTTGTATGGATTCTCTGTAGATCTTTGATACCAACCCCTTGTCAGATATATGGTGTGCATATACTTTCTTCCATTAGTAGAGTGTCTTTTTATCTTAGTTGCACTT